CCTCTGGAGTCGTCCTCTTTTTTTTTTTTTTTTAAAATCAACATCACATTAGCTATCCACCAGTCATCTGATACAGAGGCTGATTTAAGCAATGTTATATGCTGCAGTTAATGGTTCTGCAAATTCATATTTGAGTTCCTTCAGAACTCTTGAGTGAATCCCATCTGATGCTGGTGATTTATTACTGTTTAATTTACCAATTTGTTCCAAAACCTACCCTATTGACCTCTCAATCTGGGACAATTAATCAGATTTGTCACCTAAAAGGAATGGCTCAGGTGTGAGAATCTCCCTCTCATCCTCTGCAGTGAATCCCGATGCAAAGAATTCATTTGGCTTCTCCACAACAGCCTTGTCTTCCTGGAGTGCTCCTTCAGCACCTTGATCGTCCAGTGGCCCTACTGATTTATTGCAGACTTCCTGCTTCTGATGTAACTTTAAAAAAAAAAAAAGTTGCTGTTAGTTTTTGGGTGGGAGAGGGGTGGGGCGGAAAGGGGGAGGGGAGGTATGGAGTGTTGTGGGGAGGAAGAGTCTGGCTGGGGGTGGGAGGTGTTGGAAGAGGGAGTGGTGGTGGTAGTAGTAGAGGGGAGAGGCTGGTGGGGAGTGTTAAAGGGAAGGTGTGGGGGCTGGAGAGAAGAAGAGGCTAGTTGGGGATAGGTATTAGAGGGGACAGCCTTGGGAGTAGTAGCTGGAACTATGGTGTAGTTGCAAAGCAGAGGCTGAAGGGCTGGGGGCTCTCAGACCCTCCTGTGAGGAGACAGTAACTACACCTAACCACGGTTTACCAGGCCTCTTGGGCTGCGAGAATTTAAATGAGGGAGATTTCAGAAAATAATGCGTGAGATTTTAAATCTCAGTGAAACACGCACAGCAAAACCCTGTGTCACAGGAGAGAGAAATTTCAAACACCGCTTTGAAATCCATTCCTTTAACCTGGGAGTCTCCCTCCTTTCCATGTGAGCACGTCTTGGCAACAGGTATGCGTTTTGGCTCTGGAGCATAGCAAACCTGTAGTGCAGCTAGTGTGTATGTAATTATATACCCTGTCAGGCCTGCCAAGTCTCATTCATTGGGGTAAGGGTGACTCTCTCTTCTCTGTGATGCATTTTAAGCCAGAGTTTGAAGTCTCTCCTTTGTGAGGTTGGATTTTGCTGTATGTTTCAGTGAGACATTTAAAATCTCACTCATTCAAATTCTCACAGTTCGAGACTCATATCTATATTTTATATACTTTTTGGTGATGCCTAATCTATCTTGCAATGAGATCTACATACTGATCCTGATGCACCCGGTGCATTTGCCTCCCTGTAGACAATTTTCTCATACATGCTATGATATCCATTACCGCACATGGGGGAGGAAAAAAATCTTACTAAGATTAAGAAAATGGCAGAAATGTGGCAGTGCAGTTCCCCTGTGAAATAAAATATTTCCCACCATGACAGTGTCTAAAAGCAAGTAGCATTTAAAACCTAAGGGAGAAACTAATAACAAACAAGATGTGAATGGGAGGCTGACTTGCATATGTTTTGCTGTAAGTGGAAAGATGCTGTCCTTTCATGAAGCAGCACTGAAGAACACGTATGATATGTAAATAGAGCCAAAGTACTTGACCCTGAGTTCTTAAAAATTACAGAAGGGAGACTACCTGCCAGCTGTAGAGAGTTCGTCAAGCAGTGCACGTCACTGTCCTAAATCTTCTGGAATTTTCTTTAAATCTCAACAACAAATATGAACCAAATTTTGTACATCAGACCTGTGAAATAGAGTCCTGAAGCTTAATCTTGAGGTTGTGGCTTAGGCTGAGAGAACAGTAAAAAAAATTTTTCACCACCTCTTACCATTTGATCGTAGAGAAATTCTCCGGTAGAAAGCATCATGTGTGGTAACATGTAGCTAATCACACGTACTAACATGTAGCTAAACACACACATTACTACCTCATCTTGCCAGAGGTTCAATAGCAGAGATAGTAAATAAGCCTGCCATGTTAGGCTTCATTTATGTATTTATCTACAAAATACTTGCTAGGACATGGAGTACTACAAATTAAAATGGAACTAAAGTCTAAATTAACCAAGTACAGTTAGTGGTGTATAATTGTTTTATTGTTAAATTTCTGAAACTTGCATTAGTGATTAAATTAACAATAGATCACCCCATCGCTAGTGCAAATTAGTACAGGTCTGCTGCAGTGATGAACAGAAATAATAGTGACAAAATGATTCCTTATGAGTAATAAAACTGCTTAAGTATGGGTGGCAAACTGACACTAAGCCCTTTTAAACAATCAAATTCTTGAAGATGAGCATTTACTTTCTTCAGATGAATACGTTTGGGGAAAGTGGTACAAAGTCCTGTTTTCTCATGTTTGTGGGGTTGGGTTTTTGTTTTTGTTTTTTGGGTAACCGCAAATGCCTTCAATTGAAACTTGGCATTTTATAAACTCATTAGCACCAAAGGTCTCGGGGTGAAACTATGTATTGAAGGTATTCCTCATTTCCAATAGTCTTCTGCACCAGCTACCAGAAGAAGTATTTTAAAAATGCTAGAGCAGGGGTAGGCAACCTATGGCACGTGTGCCAAAGGTGGCACGCGAGCTGATTTTCAGTGGCACTCTCACTGCCCAGGTCCTGGCCACCGATCCGGGGGGCTGTGCATTTTAATTTATATACAACAATAGTTTAGTTATATATTATAGACTTATACAAAGAGACCTTCTAAAAACATTAAAATGTATTACAGGCATGCGAAACCTTAAATTAGAGTGAATAAATGAAGACTCGGCACACCACTTCTGAAAGGTTGCCGACCCCTGTGCTAGAGGTTACTTCTCTGGCGAAAGAGGATTTATTCATATGAACTAGGGAGTAGAGTGTTTAAGGGCCCTCCATTCACTAATGTCCCTTTAAAATGTTAATTTTGCAAACAATACATTCTCACACCATTAAAATATCTCTGTTAGCTGGTATGGGTAACAATAAGAACTAGATTCATGAAAGCTATCTGTTCTTGTCAGCATATATAGTAGGGGCTGCTAGTCATGTGTTTGGACATGAACTAGCCTAAAGGGAGAATGTTAATAGGGCTGTCAAGCGATTAACAAAATTAATCGTACTGTTAAACAATAACAGAATACCATTTATTTAAATATTTTTGGGTGTTTTCTACATGTTCAAATATATTGATTATAATTATAACACAGAATACAAAGTGTACAGTGCTCACTTGATTACATATATTTGCACTGTAAAAAAAACAAAAGAAATATGCACTCTATGCATCTGAAGAAGTGAGGTTTTTACCCACGAAAGCTTATGCCCAAATAAATCTGTTAGTCTTTAAGGTGCCACTGGACTCCTTGTTGTTTTTGTAGATACAGGCAAACATGGCTATCCCCTGATAAAAGAAACAGTATATTTCAGTTCACCTAATACAAGTACTGTAGTGCAATCTCTTTGTCATGAAAGTTGAACTTACAAATGTAGAATTATGTACTAAAAACTGCATTCAAAATAAAAGGTTAAATTTTAGAGTCTGCAAGTCCACTCAGTCCTACTTCTTGTTCAGCCAATTGCTCAGACAAACAAGTTTGTTTACTTTTGCAGGCGATAATGCTGCCCTTTTCTTATTTACAATGTCATTTGAAAGTGAGAACAGGCGTTCACGTGGCACTGTTGTAGCTGGCGTCACAAGAGATTTACGTGCCAGATGCACTAAAGATTCATATGTCCCTTCATGCTTCAACCACCATTCCAGGGTACATGCGTCCATGCTGATGACAAGTTCTGCTCAATAACAATCCAAAGCAATGCGGACCAGCACATGTTCATTTTCATTACCTGAGTCAGATGTCACCAGCAGAAAATTGATTTTCTTTTTTGGTGGTTCGGGTTCTGTAGTTTCTGCATCAGAGTGTTGCTCTTTTAAGACTTCTGAAAGCATGCTCCACACCTTGTCCCTCTCAGATTTTGGAAGGTACTTCGGATTCTTAAACCTTGGGTCGAGTGCTGTAGCTATCTTTAGAAATCTCAGATTGGTACCTTCTTTGTGTTTTGAAAGTTCTTAAAATGAACAACATGTGCTGGGTCCTCAGCTGAGACTGCTATAACATGAAATATATGGCAGAATGCAGGTAAAACAGAGCAGGGCACATACAATTCTCCCCCAAGGAGTTCAATCACAAATTTAATTAACACATTATTTTTGTAACAAGCATCATCAGCATGGAAGCATGTCCTCTGGAATGGTGGCCGAAGCATGAAGGGGCATATGAATGTTTAGCAGTGGCGCAAACCTAGTATCTTGCATATAAATACCTTGCAATGCCAGCTACAAAAATGCTATGCAAATGCCTGTTCTCACTTTCTGGTGACATTGTAAATAAGAAGAGGGCAGCATTATCGCCTGTAAATGTAAACAAACTTGTTTGTCTTAGCAATTGGCTGAACAAGACCTGGGACTGAGTGGACTTGTAGGCTCTGAAGTTTTACATTGTTTTGTTTTTGAGTGGAGTTATGTAACAAAAAAATCTACATTTCTAAATTGCATTTTCACGACAAAGATTGCACTACAGTACTTGTATGAGGTATATTGAAAAATACTATTTCTTTCGTTTATCATTTTTACAGTGCAAATATTTAGAATCAAAAATAATATACACTTTGATTTCAATTACAACACAATACAATATATATCAAAATGTAGAAAAACATCCAAAATATTTAATATATTTCAATTGGTATTCTATTGCTTAACAGTGCAATTAAAACTGAGATTGATTGTGATTAATATTTTTAATCCCAATTAATTTTTTGGGGATAATCGCATGAGTTAACTATGATTAATCGACAGCTCTAATTAATAGCCATGTCAAAGTAAACTTATACAACTGTAGGTATGAATGTCACTTGTGCTGGCACAATTTAATTTGTATAGGAAAAGGGTTCTTCATATGTATATATTTTTAAATTAACAGCAGTTTTTGGGGACCTATTCTGGCATCTGTCCTTCCACAGCCTAAGCCTGAGGTCTTTCATGGCATTTTAAGGATTCGAGCTCATACTCTTTTGTTGCTAATTAAACAAAACAATATGAGCTCTAAACAACTTACCTTTTTGGGGATCACAGCCATGACCCCTCTACAGAGAGACAATGTGTGACTTAAGTCAGTATATTAATGTCTTTGCTCTGAACAATTCATCTTCCGTCCTCCCACCAAAACATGTAATGGGCATAAAATGAGAGCTGTTACGCAGTGTTCTACAAGCCAGTCTTCAAGGAGCGCTGAGTATAATGAGTCCTTTAGAAATATTATTTCAAATGCTAGTGAATACAATATCCATCATCTTATAGGAATTCTTACATGCCAGAAGAGCAGAAAACTATATCTAACAGTGTGCACATTGACTTTCATCTTTGTTGAATGTTTGATATCAACAGGAGATACTCCATGTTTCTTTTTTAGTATTGTCATACCTTCTTAGGATATGAGAACCACAAAACAAAATGGTTCTGCCATCCAAAGAAAATAAAGTGACACTTTCAGCAAGAGAAGTAACATGGTCTATTATCCTGCAGTTTTTTTAAAACTTATTTGTGCTGTTGATTTTTTGAGGCTGCTTTCAGCAGCCTCATGTGCAATACTAGGATATAACGTTTAGAGTTCATTGTTTCTTTAAGAAGTTGTTAATTCTTGCTGGGACAAACCATGCTGTATGTCCCCTTTTCCAGAAACAATGCATAACTCCTTGCTCGGCAGATATCCAAGAGACAATGTGTGACCCCTGCAATCCTGAGCAGTGTGTTACAGTGAAAGTGACTTGATGCTGACAAGACCTAGACATTTCATTGCTGTGCCAACTTTTAAAAAAAATCTTGTTCATTTCAATTTGCTTCAGCTGTAATGCACTGATCAGGATGTCATTGGTTTGATAGAATATAATGAGCAGAGCTCACTGTGACTTGGAACAGTGTGCGCAAGAGCCAGAGAAATGGAAACAAAAGAACATGGATTGAAATGACGAGACTAAGGAAAATAGAGGACGAGAAATGGAAACGGCAGAGTCAATCAGAATAACTTCATGGGTAAGAGTAGACTCCTTTATTTTGGGGGATGACAATGGCTGATATATTGGGCTTTCATCTTCATTTTCTTTAAAATCCAATATTGAACTTTTGGTGTCTAAGTTGTGCATCACTTCGAAACATTTCAAAGGTGAGTATGGGGGACAAGAGGCTTACTGATGCACACCCTGTCTAGGACAAGTCTTGCCAAAAGCTTGTCCTTTATATGTTAAGTCAAGTATAATACCTTTTCACTGCTCTGTATATTAAGGTGGGCCTAAGACCTGTTCACTTAAGCCACAACGAGCTATAACAGGGTTTGTGCAGTCAAAACCAAACCATGTTATGATCTGGCTTGGCCAGCACCAGTTCTAACAATCCCCACTGAACTCTTGTTTTATCAGTATATAGCAGATTGTAGGCCCTTAACCTGCAAATGCTTGTACATAACTTGCACATGTAGTCCCACTGAAGTCAATGAGACTATGCCTGGGAGTCAAGCACGTGCAAAAGTGTTTGTGGGATTGGGCCTAATTTTGTGCACCATCCTATCTAGGCAACTACCACAAAAGATTTCTCTGTGGTTCACTTTGAAAATATAGAATGGGATTTTTTCAGAAGTACTCTGCATTGGCCTAACTCTGCTTCTATTGAAGTCAACTGAATCTTTACCATTGATTCAGTGGAAGCAGACAGGCCAATGCTGAGGTCTCTTGAAAATCTCACCCAAATTATCGCATAGCTTCAAAAATGAAGGCAATGTATTGAAATTTCAAGTGTAGCCATTTCAGTTTTATGCTATGCTTTTCCAAGCAACAAAGTACAGTTGTAACATTCCACTTTTTTATAATCTCTTGGGGTTTGAAAAACTTTCACTGACTAAACATACTTCAATTTTCTTAAATAATGAACAGTTTCAGATTTTTCCTCATGGGGGGCACATCCTTTCTTCAGCCAGCTGCTGAAGCCCACGTCTATCTAGTTCTGCTTTGTCTTGTCTCTGAGGTACACCGTTTTCTCTTTGACTCCACACTTCAGCTTGCAGCTATCTTTCAAATTGGTCACCAGGATGAGACCTTAAAAATTGAGGTCCTCTCTGCTCTCCATTGTTTAAAAATAAATAAAATAAACCTTTGGCACTTTTCACAGGAATAGGGCATTTGTCCTGATGTGCCTTTAAGAGTTCCCTTTTAACCAGCTGTGCAGTGGCTTGTGTGCATGTTTGGTGCTCCATTGCGTCCCAGCGGTGACTATATTTCGGTAGTGTTGTGTGCCTGTAGTTTGGGATGAAAGGTGTTAAAAAAACATCACTTGATTTTTCTAGCGCTTCTAGTGAACATGTTTTTATGTATGGTTGAGATTACTTTCCCTTCTGCCTCCCCAAAAACAATTACCAAGAAAGAGACTGCTTACAAAAGAGTTTGTTTTCCAGTATTTCCTACAATAGAACCTCTGCCTTTCCTTCTTGCAGTTACTATGAGGCAGCAAATAGAAAATCATGTAAAAATGCTTGTGAAATAAGAAAATCACTTTTGGGGTCAACATCTGCTCTACATATTTGTTGAAGTCAATGCATATATATGTTAATGTTGTAGTCCTGACTTTTAATACTATACCTGCCTCTGTGGTATTTGAGAGCAGAAATTGACTTTATCATGTTTTATTGGTGTCTTCAAACTGAAACCCCTTTGCCCTCTCTTGCCCAAGGGCTGTATTTGGCCCACAGTTTTTCTTTGCACTCTTCTAGATTTCTGTACTCTTGCAAGTTATCCTTGAGAATCAGGGAAGAAGAGCTGTTAGAAATAATGAGGTTGAGCACACTTCCTTTTCCTTCACGCTCTGATCAAAAAGCTTCTGCACAAAACTATAGCATGTCTAGAATACAACTTTTCTAATGTTTTAACAACATACTCTCCTATCACCTTTAATCTTACGCTACTCTACCGCAGGGATCGACACTCTGAGATCGATCCACCGGCGGTCGATTTAGCGGGTCTAGTAAAGACTTGCCAAATCAACTGCGGATCGCTCTCCAGTCGACCCCTGTAGTCTACCCCCAAAGAGAAGAGTAAGGTACACCCCCTGCACAGTGTAGACCCCGCGGTAACGCGACCTTAAGGTACATTGACTCCAGCTAGGTGAATAACGTAGCTGGTGTTGCATAGCGTAGGACGACTTACCACGGTAACGTAGACATAGCCTGAAGGGGAGTGGAAATAGACTATGTACAAAGAGAAATTTTAAAACATCTTGAAGATGCCTATTAAATGACATAATCAGAATTTTCATGGGGATCTCCAAAAGTTTTCTCTAAATCTTAACCTCCAGTATCTGTCCCTACACCTTTGTTAGGACAAAATTAAGAGAAAATGTCTGAACTTTTAACATGTAGCAAAAATAAATTAGTACAGTAATATTTCATAAAGTGCTTTTTTGAGTGCCTGCATATGTCACTGCTTTAATTGCTGTATCAAAGCACTGTGCCAAAGGAGGAACAGACAAATAGTTACAAGGCTAAAACAAATGCAGCAAACCATGCTCCTACAGTGGGGTAGCTGAGAACAAGAATTGAATCCTTGTCTCTTAACTCTGTTGCTGGACAGTGAGTCTGCAGTAGGCTATTCAACTGGGCCCAAACTTTCAAAACTGTCCATTTGGGTTTTGGGTGGGTAAGTGGTGGAGATGCCCAATTTAAGCACCTCTTACCCCTCCCTGTATGATAGGGGTGATGATAATGCTAAATCAAAAAGCATTGGGAGTTCTGTAGATGAAAAGCAATATATAAATGCTGAGTCGATGAGTACATTAGTGTGAATTCCTCTTCTTTTGGATGTTGCATTCCCACCCTCATCGAGTGTCTCCATTCTGGTGGTAATTGATGTTCTCCATTATGATCCCGTGACTTCTCGTCACTAGTCGTTGTCAGATTAAAGGTTAATATAAAGTGGTTCAAAAAGTAGAGTCTTCTGCATTCTTTCTAAACGCTCTCAAAGGGCTACAGTCAAGTGGCTTAAGCTGCCTTTAAATTGTTATAATCCACTAGGATCTACACCAAAGGTGCTTTGTATTGCCAGTTTTGGCTTTCGAGCAGTTAACAGACACAGGACTCCTGCACTGCTCATGTTGAATCTACTGGGTGCAGTTTAAGAACATGAATACAAATAGAACAAGGAAGTAAATTAAATGGTTGTTTATTTCAAGCAGTCATAACAGGATATTTGCTTACTAAGTCAAAAAGAACAAAGACTATTTATTTTACAACTTAAGAATGCTATTTTCAGACAGTGGAAAAGTAAAAGCAAATTTAAATGATAAAAATGTGTTGATTATGGCCTTATAAAGAGGTGCCAATTATATTTGGGCCCCATACTGTACTTGGTATTACAATCAGGTAGAAAATGTTTTTTTAACTGATCATTTTGAAAAATTAAGACACCTCTTATGCAGGTTCCCCCAAAGAGTGTTGTTTGCTCTGCTGGCTGACCATCTGCCATTATCTAGTGTACCTCATTGATAGCTTTGGGCACAGTGCTGCTGGTGTATGTACAAGAGCTACTGCTCCCAAGAATGATTGGTTTATTTGAGTATGTATCTGTTCAGCTACAATTGGGTCTCTCCTCTTCATCTGAATTTGTTTCTCACATGATAATTTGTTTGTGATACCACACTTAGCTGCGGTTAATAATTATGCTACCCCAAACTAAGGATAATGGGTTCAAGTGGGAAATAATGGATAGTTGCTTGCTGTGGAAATGGGCTTTCTATAAAGATAAAAATAAACATTAGGAGATGAATGGTTATTTAAAGACTTTCATAGTGAATGTCTTTTAATACAGAATAATGCTTAGAATTTTGGCATACAAATGAATTACATTTATTCTGGGTCTTTAATATGGTAAAGCATAAGGGGATAACATAGCAATAAATATAGTAGAGTTTTCATATAGTCATATTTTTTAAATCCAAGCTTATCTGGGACATGGATGTGCAGTCACCTTTATAAGGATTAGAGAACAATCACTGATGTAAGCATAGCTAAAGTGTTTAGGAAGTCTGTTTTTGCTGTAAAAGGGATTTTCAAAAAGCTTCCAAAATGCTTTAGTAATAAGTTAATAAATTTTCAGCATCTCTGTAATGATTATCAAAGCATAAGATTTGGCTCAGAGTAAGTTTAGAATGTGAATATTTTGTGTCCCAGTCCTGGGTTCAGATTATTAGACTTCTCTCTCTGAGTTGGGCTCACAAGGTAAGATCCTAAATGCAAATAAAGGGAAACAGTAGAATCCAAGGTAATATGGACAAGTTCTGCACCAAAGAGCAGATGAGCACTGAATTAGTGGGTGGAGTTTTGTTCAATAGATACAAAGGCCTGGTCCACACTAACCCCCCACTTCGAACTAAGGTACGCAAATTCAGCTACGTTATTAATTCGAAGTACCTTAGTTCGAACTTACCGCGGGTCCAGACGCGGCAGGCAGGCTCCCCCGTCGATGCCGCGTACTCCTCTCGCCGAGCTGGAGTACCGGCATCGACGGCGAGCACTTTCGGGGTCGATCCGGGATCAATTTATTGCGTCTAGACAAGACGCGATAAATCGATCCCAGAAGATCGATTGCTTACCGCCGGACCCGGAGGTAAGTGTAGACCTACCTTAAGAGAATGACTTTCTTTCAAGATTACAGTTCTTGGGAAGTGGTATTAAGAAGCGTGTGTGGTTTTTTTCCCCATTGTACACTTCTTTTCTTTGCAAACTCCATCCTTGTAAATATGCTTAATGTTCCCTCAGCTGCCATTCATTATCAATTATCCCTGACTGTGCAACAAGTAAAAACTATATTGACTTTGTACCTTCTGTCCTGGGAATATCTCTTTGTTAGCGAAAATTCAGACTATTTTAATTGATTCTTTAAGAGATGTGCTAAATAAGCAAATGTCTTTGCTAAGCACTTGTAGTCTCCACAGGCCACAGCCCACATTAAAGATGAGGATGGCTACAATCTGCTGTATTTCATGCCAATAAA